TTAAAGTGATCCTAATATTTTTAACTCACCAGCGAATCCCTTTAAGCATTTACAAGAGTATCCAACACGTCCAACATGTTCTACACACGTTCCGTTGTTCACACACGGATTTGATAGACACTCAATCACGTTGGCTTCACACTGGTTACCAAGGAAACCAGGTGGACAMTCACACTGGTAGTGATTAAGGCGATCATGACACGTGCCTCCATTGAAACAAGGGTCAGATTGACACTCATTGGTCTCGTTCTCGCAGCGATGCCCCTCGAATCCCGYGGGACAGGTACACGAGAAATTACCTAGGAGACAAGATAAACAGAAGTTATCTTAAACAGTTAAGAAACAAATTTTCTAGGATACTCTCCGGTTGATAGCACATGACGGGCAGTGTTTGCCTGTCAATATAGGCTGGTGATGATATATTAATCACCTGAATAAATCTATACCTAATTATTCATCCTATAAGACCAAAGTTCATCAATGGGGTCATTTGACCAAGCATACTCACCTATTCCATCATTACAAGTACCATTGTTTAAGCATGGCTGACTTGCACATTCATCTATTTGCACTTCACATATACTCCCAGTATAACCAACTKCGCATGCACACTGATAGGTGTTTATGCCATCAATRCRTTGCTGGWAGGAYCTGCAAGGCCTGTTCTTGCAGTCATCAACATTAGTGTCACAGGTATGGCCAGTAAATCCGGGCAAACATTGACAATGGTAGCTTTAGTAATAAAAGAAATAACTTGTTAAGTTGAAGAAATTCAAACTGCTTGGGATAAAGAAAATCTAGGCCAGAATACCTCCCAAGGAGGGATTGGTATTCCCTAGGGGTGGGGAGGGTCTTAGGAGGGGAAATTGTAGTTCCACAGTCCTCCCCTATGGAGGGGATTAGAATTTCAAAGGGGTGCAGGAGGGTCTGAGGAAAATAGAAAATATCCAGAAAATATCCATACCTCCCCCATGAAGGGGATTGGAATTTACAAGGGGTGGGGAGGGTCTGAGTAGGGGATATTGCGTAGTTCAAGAAAATGTCCACACCTCTCCAGTGGAAGGGGATTAGAATTTCCAAGGGGTGGGAGGGCCTTTGGCACCAAAACAAAAGATGGGGGGGGGAGGGAATTCCCAAAAGATAAAGGTAGGGTGAGCCAAAGTATCACTTACCCTTTTACTCCGTCAATACATGTTCCAGCATTACTACAGGGCTTGGACAGACAGTCATTTATAGTTACATTACACAGCGCACCAGTATAACCTGCTGAGCACTGACATACRTATCCATTAATACCATCAATACAGGTGCCACCGGCACCACAAGGAGTTGACGTCAGATTGCACTCATTTATGTTGACTTCACAATGAACTCCTGAAAGACAAATAAGATGATGTCGATTTWAAAAAATGAGACCCCAGAAGCAAGAGGTGAATTCGCTCCCATTACACCACCCTTGATTGACCAAAAGTCAACTATYTAATCCAACTAAACTTTTATCATCTAAAATCTATATTTCAGTCCAAAATATTCCTCAAGATARTATTTCTTATTTCAGGTTTTTGATTGGCAGTCGTTGAAATGCTAGTCGGCGAAGAGAGACATCAAACTTTGTGGGTCCCACTCTAATGATAATGGTAAAGTAAGTGGTACATTGAAGTTTGTAAATCAAGGATTATTCTGACTTGCCCTAACARCATGCAACTTACCCATGAATCCAGCAGGGCACATACATTGATAGTCACCAGTTTGATGGTGAATACAAGTAGCTTGGTTTTGGCAGTAATTATACAGACATTTGTTCACTACAGCCTCACAGTTCTTACCTAAATAACAAAAACAACAGATGAATAGTAGGTATCAGAGTTAAAATCTATTATGTTTGGCATAAAACAATATTGTTTTAACTTGTGGTATTTGGGTCCGTTTCTATACCTTTACTTAATGTGGACCCAATTACCTCAACTTGAAACAAGGCAACAGAGTGTAATTCTGTTAGCCACTATTAAACTAGTGAGGGAGAAAAAAATTGATGTTAGGATAGAAGAAATGAAAAAATGGACTAGCAAAAATTAATAGTAAGTACATTAAAAATTTGAGTGAAGAAAATAAAAATGGTTGAATAATCAAATGGATGGGTAGAAGGATGGGTGAATGACTGGGGTGGAAGGGTAGAAAGATACATTATGTGATTGGATGATGTGACAGAGTCAAAAGACACTATTTTGGACAGTAATTATTTAGTCATAAATCTATATTTTTAATTAGGAATGCCTCGTGTACACATAGGAATGTAATTCTTTAGTTAACTGTTTGCGTGGAAAATGCGTAAGCAAGAAATAATTTCCGTACGTAATTA